GGAAGAGGAAGAGAAACCCCTGAGCCAGTGTACCACTGCACGATACTGCCGCAAAAACACCAGGCAGCAGAAGTACCATGAACCCTGTGGGTGCTGAGGATGGCATGCGAATCTACGAAAAAATTAATAATAATATATATCTTTCATATCTTTTCCGAGTAAAAAAGCAATGCGGTCTCGGAACCAGCGGCTGTTCTTGATGTGACTATGCAAATCTAAAAAGCAGGGCCATTACAGAATTGAGTGAATTGTCGAACACTATGAATCTGGTAATGGTGTTGCAAGGGAAGGATCCACCCCCACTCATTAAGGTCCTCAATCACATCTGAAATATTTCATGAAGTTCGATTACACATTGGACCGTACTATACTGACATCGTAATTGAACGGGTCGTACCCAGTCTCCATAATGTTTCAACGTATAAAAAAAACCTACAAAGAGGTGGAAAAGGGACGAATCAGGATTCGGAAAAAAGTAGAGTGTAAAGAGCGCACACTCGGAATCCACTGCATATGATCACGTAGAAGGCAATTCGTGCCTGAAAAAATGTTTTGAAAATTAAAATTAATCCTCATCTAAAAACCCAAGGGCAGCCAAGTCCGGTTCAATGACATCACCCTGTCTCCTGAGAAACGAATTAATTCGGAAGGTCATTCTTAATGGCCAGTCATCCCAATCTCGATGGTTTGGGTCCGCATCCTGTACATATTGCACGATTTCATCTTCAGTGAGGGACCCCACCCTGAGACCTGCAATCATGTCATCAAGCCTGAATCCATCCATCATTCTCTCACAGTGATTACAGACCCCGCCAGGGGTGGGATGGGCGACCCATTGATAGATATGACATACAGGCTGATTCTCCACATAGTCCCAAGAATCTAACGAAAAAATGAAAATCAACACGAACAGGTTGGAACCCAGAATCGCGCGGCCCAATTGAGTCTGGCACGTCGAGGGCAAAGACACAGGTGGACAGGCCACAACACTGTTCGTAGAAAATCGACCCCCTTGAATACCGCTATAAAAAATTAAAAAAGGTATAAGGACAAGGGTCCCACACCCCCAAAAAAATGAAAGCCATAAAACTCACCAGCCATGCGGCGGCGATGGACCTCGTGGTCTAACTTCCGGGCAATGGGATGGTCCCACGGCAACGTTCTGGCCCAGGCTCGTAGCTCTTCATGGGTACAGCGACGGAATAAGGCGCGATAACACTCGTGGCCCATGGGCAGGTGAAACAAAATCTTGAGCATGTCGAACAAGACGGCGATGGGTACAGAGTACAGCACGATGGACTGGAGCGAACTCACCATCTTGAATCAGTGTGACGGATCAAACTGGAATGAGCTCGCATAGAGCGCGCAACGGGATTTACAGACTTGATGAGAGAAGGTGATTGGTGGAGAGAGATCACATGGGAAAATTAACCAGGAGAGGAAACTCTAGGGGGTACCCCCCATGGGTACACTTTTTTAGGGTGGACCTCAAGTCCTGGCGCGAGTGAGTGATTGGCCCCAAGAATCCATGAATAAGAGAGAACCATGCAGAGAGACCTCATTCCATGCTTGACGCTGTTCTCATCATGGACTGCCGAGGGTTGGTCGACCCCAAGAACAAACCGTTTGGCCATGTACTACCCTTAGAAGTGCAAATCAAGATCATGTTTTGGGTGCAGTGTTTTTACACCATGGATAAGCGCAAGAAAGTGGTGCGAGAGTTGAAGGGGTTGCCCATTTGCCGCATGACAGGGTGGCCCAAAACCCTGGGTACAGATCGGACCTGGAACCAAGTGGTGGTGCGTTTGCATGCTCCCAAGACCAGCCGCTGCCACCATTGCCATCGCATATTGGATCACCGGTTGTCGGTGAGTGATTTGGAGACCCTTGTCTT